TTATATATATATATATATATATATATATATATATATATATAAATTTACTTTTTACATTAATATATTTTTACGACAATAAATGTAGGAAATTCTATTTTTATAAAAATATTACACATGACATTTCGCGATTTTTATTTTAATATCTTAATATTTTCTTTTCAAGTAAAATAGGAACATCTATTAATAGGACGCGAACAATGTGTGCTAATTTAATTTAACACTATAACAATATCCTGTTATGAAATAATTACGAAGGAAATATATATATATATATCTATATATATATATCAAGTACACGTAGCTCCATTATATTCGATTCGAAGTGGAGACAAAACAAGGCGCAGAGGATCAGCAGTGATGAAGGTACGCGCTTACTTCATCCTCCTCGACGAGCTTCCAGTTGACGATGTTATTAATGAAATACTTATGACTCATGAGACCGTAACGTATACATTCCAGCAACCTCGGCAAATAAACCCGTCTCTGCTCAGCTTTAGCTTCGACCCACGTCTTGATGGCGTCAAATACGATCTCCTCGTTTTTAACATTGAGCTCGTCGTCGCGCAATATTGCTTCCAGCTCGTCGCAAAGAAGATCCTTGAACTCCGCGCTCTCCTGCAGTATCCGCTTGAAGTGGTGACGTATGTACTTCCGGCCCTGTTTCTCGAGATCGCGGCAGAAGTAGTGCCGTGCAAATTTGAAAATACCTGTAACCAGCCGTAACAGCAGCCGGCTGCCAACTTATTTCCAACATAAACGTCATGAATTGTTTTCATCCGGAAAATCGAAAATCAACATCCAAGTTTCGTACGAGCAATTTAACTTTATAACCGTTATCTCTGACTGGCAGCCAAAACTAAAACTATATACTAACTATCGTCCTTGTTGTAGCGCGTCGTGTGTACCGTTATGTGGCAATTAATAATTTCTTCGTGCCTTTGTACCTTATGTATACACTTTATGTACACCTTGTGTACTTCTGTATCTATATTAGTTTACCTAAGCAATTTTCCGGTCGTAGCTCCTGCAGCAAGAACTGACAACAGAGCTGAACGATCCCAAGCACCTCGAACTGATCGGCGAGCGGCAATAATTGTTCAACATTGTCGGCATTGACGTTGCAGGTGCCCGTGTAGGCGTAGTCGAGGATTAGACTGAAGATCTCACCGGGGACGGAAATAACGACTTCCGTGGTCTCGGTCTTACCGCCTTTCAGACTGTTGGTGAAAAGAGCCTTGAAATAGGGGCTCACCGCAGACAATATAGCGCGATGGACTGGGAAGACTTGATCCTCCAGGCATCTTATGGCGCCGTCGCATAGTTGCCGGTTAGCCCTGAAGCCGATAGACCCGTCATAATTCTAAGGAACGTTGCACATATTCTTTAATTAAATGTTCATATAAAGCGCGCCGCAAACAAACGTAGTACGTAGTACGTAGTTTAAGGACGGAGGATATTGGCAATTGGCTAAATCAGTAAAGCGATATGATATAACCGTATTTGCACAATTAATTTAAGAATCATGCATTTTGCAGGACGTTAAAACTAATTTCCGCCCGCGGAAATATCTCTTATGTTGTAAGAGATATACGTTACCGCGTAATTTAACTTGGTGAGAAATGGAATAATTAAATTTTATTTTTAAATGCACCGCCGCGCACGAAGTATAGAGTACAGGGGGGGGAGTACGGGGAAAAAAAAAAAAAAACGCTGATAAATCGCATCTCCTCCCCCACACGTTC